GGAAATGTATCAGGTCCCTGGGTACACTAATTACTCTTAATGACCCTCCACTCCACAGACCCTGCCTCTAGTTCTGGGAATCCATATAAATTCAGGTCTGGACCTTCACCCCCTACTTGACCTGTGTTGTTGGGGTGCCCGTTTGAGTTCTGCCCTGGCCATGCCTGTGCTTGGCCATGTACCCTGTCTTGATACAGGTCCTGACCTATGGACTGACTTTCTGACATGACCCCAACTGACCACTGTGGTCCTCCTTGGTCTGGTTCTGATTTTCATTTTACTTTAGCTGTAAAAGAACAAAATAAGGTGTGTAATGTAAAATAGTTGGGTTTTAGTGTAGCATACAATGCAAATCTTGGGGTAGAATGGATATTTAGGGAAATGGCTATTGGGTAGAAACCTTTAATTCATGATGTCTTCTTCCTAGTAGTGCTATGAGAAGTTCTTCAGCAAAATCAGTTTCTTCTGATCATTTAAAAAGATTAATCAATTAGTGTTATGCTATTCAACATGACAAATGTAAGAGGATTTAGCCAAGCCTTGTTCAAAGGCATCAAAACCACTACCTACAGAAACTAGACATTACAATACAGAAAAAGGGTATTTGAAACCAAATCTATTGATTCTGTTTTCTGCTTCAGTCCCAACACTTCTCTTATTTTCTTAAAGGCAAAGTTTTCACAATTTTCTTATCACGGATATCTTTAAGACTGCACGAACCATTTCTAATTTTAACCACAAGGAAGTCAAGTGTTTTTTGAAACTTTTTGAGAGCATCTCAAAACAACCAAAAACATTGAAATCAGTAATATGATCTGGCACGAGATGCAAGCTACTCAAATCCAAGTCAAGGTCCACCTCAACGTGCTTATTGATGGCTTGGCAGGGGTGGCAGGGAGAAGCTGTTTCCAGCACAGACTTTTCACGGACTGGCATGAGGCAATTACATTCTATCAGACGTTTTCAGATTGCCTAATTTATGCAATATTTCAAACAATGAAGGCTTAAGCTTCTGAAGAACAAAAAAAGAGATGAATTAGAGCACTCTGAAATGAAGTGTAATGCATAACATACTATTGTGGATTTTTGTGAACATTTTGTCTCAATGACCCAAACCTTAAACTGAAACAATGAACAAAGTACTTCACTGCTTGTTTCAGTGATTTCCAGAGTACTATAATTAAGCCTAACTTTTTTAAATGGAAAAGCCACATGGTGGCAGGAGAGAACAAGGCATGTAAAAAACCTGTGCTGCTAAATGCTTCCCTCAGATTTAACTACATAATGTTCCCTTCTACAGCACAGCTGAAACTCTGTGGCTGTATTTTTAAATCCAACAGGCACTAACATGACTCGTTAGTTGCAATGCTTAAAAAAGTGTCCATGAGTTTTAAGTTTCTGATACTACTCACCAAGTTCACCAGGAATTCTACAGTAAATATTAATATTACAGTGACTTCTGAAATTATGTAGTAGAGTTAATGTATTGAATCTGCAACCTGTTTTCAGATTGTTTGCACTGTAATATATTCCCATAGCATCAGGGATGCAATGACTAGAAGTGATCTTCACACAGCTATTTTCATATTGTGGCACTTACAGTGACACTACCAATGACAGGCCATAAATACTGCTTCAAATTCACAATTCTGTGAAAATGAAATATTTAGTCCTTAATTTTTTTTATGTAATGTGCTAAACCACGAACAGGTCTGCTATGCAAAAATGCAAAGTCTGATTTTCCAGTTTAAGATCCAGTAAGGGCAGGCTAAACTTCTAATCCTCCAATTTACAACCATCTGGACATACCCTTCACTTTAATCACAATACACTGTTTGTAGGTGGCTCAGTGCAGTTCACACTGTTTCCTAGCTAATAGTCCATGGAAATAGTGATGCACTTAACTGCACACACTGTTAGTACCTACACAGGTACAGACAAAACTGAAGACTGATCAGTTACTTTTGCAATCAAGATGTAGTTCTGATAGCTGACTTCTATTAGATAAATAATAAGTGGGTTTTTCTGTTTAGTAGATGTATAATCAGGGATTTCTAATTTAAGAGCTGTGACTGCTCAACTTGTATTTGAAGACTTCACGGCATCTTTTTCAATAATTCCATCATTTAAATCAGAGACTTTACACAATCCATAAAAAGAATTTTCTTCTAATCTGAACATTTCTTCAATTTCAATCTATTTTAAAATGTTGAATCTTTTGATGATTTTTAGCATATTTGATTTAACGGGAAAGAAGACACAAAGAAATTCAATATATACAACCCTCTTATCTCCATAGCTAACAGAGCAAGAACTTTCTTAGGACTGTAAACAGTGCTGTAAAGTTTCTGAAATCCTGATGTCCCTTATCATAGCCCTGGTCACACCCAGCTCTTAATGCTAACAGGAGCAGCATAACCTACTCACCTTCTCAGAGGACAGGATTATGTCTCTCTAAACTCTGGTTTATTGGATTGGATATTGGAAACTACTGAGCACTAATGTGGGTCACACTGAGAAGTTTTTTAATAAGAAACTGTTTCAGTGATTAACTCATCTGATGAGAAAGCATTTACAAAAATCTGAAACTGTCTTGCAACTGAATACTTTTCACTTCCCTGTCTGCTCTCTTTCTATACCCAGCTTTCATGGCTGAACTTCTCAATTCCATTTTAAGTCTATATTATTCTTGATAATCTTGACTAACTTATTTCTCATGTTTTTTCCACTTTAAAAAGCCAATAGCTTTTCCTTTATTTTCCCTTTTCCCAATATATGCAGAAAAGAGAATAATACAAGAGCTGTACCCTAACCTGCAGAGAAAACCTTCACCACTGTTAATATTTGCTACTTCTGCATCTTCTGAAATATTTATTCTTTATCAGACTCTTGCTTGAATGTGAAAGAAATTAGATTCCTATGTTGTTTCTGTACTCTTTCTTGAACGTGAAAGAAATTAGATTCCTATGTTGTTTCTGTGTCATCTGTTAGCTTCCAGTTTCTTTTATTCCTTTCACCCAGGCACTACAGGAAAATCTTTCATTTAGGCCTGCTAACTGTAACCCTAAGAGTTCCATAACTGCAGCCTTAACTGTCTTTAAAAGGTGCCTTTTGCTCTACTTCTTCCTAGAAAATGTTCTGGAGGTTTAAATTTTTTTTTCTTTAATATATTGCAGTTGCCCTGTTTCTTCTTGTAAATAAGGATCTCTGATTTCCCTTGTGCTACTCCTTAAATCATGAGTTGCCTGTAAATATTCACAAAGCTCCATTGTTTTAATCCAGATATCTGTTATAACTCTTTTACCATGATGCTTACAGAAACATTTCAATGTCAACAGTCAACAAATAGTGTAAGGCTGATGCTTTTTCTTTATGTCCTTTTCTATCCTTCCTGTACATTGGCTGTATGAGCTAAAAATTCCTCAGGCTTTCCTTCAATCCCTTTAATACAACATGAATTCACTTTAGGCAGCATGATCCTACTACAGTAAAAAAATCCTGATGTAAACCCATGGAATGTTCACAGCAAGTTTCAGACTGGGAAATACTGAAATGTTAAGAGATAATGGTTAAAAGATGATTAATTTTTACAAATGTGAGAAATTCAAACTATTTGTTCACCTGCTAGTACTCAGTGTTCTAAGCTGTGCTGCACTGACTCCACATGATGTTCTCTGTACTTCAGTGTAGTCTGAGGTGATTTCACTCAGGTGACTGAAGTGGCCCTCTCTTAGCTCAGCCTTCTGCCTTGCTGTGTCATGAGAAATAGCTGGACACTGAAACCACACAGCAGACCTCATAAACAAGGGTAGAAGGGTTAGGAAGAAAGAAAAAAAAAAAAGAGGAACTCAAATGACATGAAGCCTCTATTTTCCAGGAGAATCTGAGTGTGTCTTGAGTTACTAGGAGGTCACTATTTTGATCTAGCTTGAACAGCAGATATATGTGAGAGCATGTTAGCACTGGTGAAGTGCAAAATCTGGCTGCATTGCTAGGGCTGATGTGTACGTGCTCAAGGAAGCAGCAGACAGCCAAGCCATCTGCTTGTGTTTTTAGGTGGACTCTTGTGGTCCCAGTTACGTGACTGCTCTGCTGACAAAAATATTAAATCAGTGAGAATTTTAACTGTGCATACCAACTGCAAGAATTAACTCTATTTACTCTATGTAAAAATTAAATTAGTTTATGTTGCTATTTTAGTTTGTTCTAGTACTTTTCAAACAGCCTTCAAAAGAAACACAGTTCTTAGAGATGACTGTCTACTGGACATAGAAACAAGGCCATTAATGAGAAATTAAGAGAGACAGCTCTAGCTCCTCGATAGACCTCCTGATGTACAAGGACTTCAGTACTGTGAGTAAAAAGCAGTGGAGAAAATGTGAAAAATTGATATTGAGGCAGAAAATTCAGGCACGGACTGATAGAAAGGAAAATATTGGCCAGGCAGCTCGTACTAAAGTTTGCTTGGGTTGTTTGTGAGTAGAGAAATGCTTGACTCTTTGTGGTCTAGAAGTTCAGTTGCAGTGCTCATGTGCTCGTCAGATAGCAAATCTGGTCTGTTCTGTGTTGTTGTTGAATAGTGAGTGATTCCTATCTCAAGAACATATTGGGAAATACAGCTTCACTTTTTTATGAGTAGATAACTGAAACTGCTGCTTTTTTGTGAGATAATGTCACATTGCTATATTGAATGTCCTATAACAATTAAATGCCATTAGAGGGGTGAAAAAGAGTGGTAGGTAAAGGATATGGTCAAGTCTAAAGGCTTTCATCTATTGTTTACTTTTTGCCACAAAAAAGTAGATCTTTAGATCTTGCTAAAGTTTTCTTAATTTCAGTGAAGGAGTCCTGTTGAAGGAAAACCCTCTGTGCTGTGGACTTCTCTCCTATTCAGGAGAAAAAATACTTTTTGATAAGAAGCAGGAATAAAAAATATATATGCAAAGTTTAAAAAAATATTCTTCCATTTGAAGCTAAGGATTTTACTTCTCCATGTTTATTTCCATTTACAAGCTAAATTAATACAATTCAAATATCCTTCACTTCAAAATTCAAAATTATTCAAAATTTCAAAAATTAATGGCTGGTTAGTATTTGCAATTTCTTTGTAAAGATGAGTAATGTAGCTATTTAGCAGCTGTCTAGAACAGGGAATATGAAATTACAATATGCTTCATAATCAGTAATCTTGATCTTATTACAAATGATTGACTTAAAACTTTACAAAGCAGTTGTAAAAAATGTTAGGCATAATTGAAATAAATAAAACTTCAAAAGCAAACACTTGATGCCATGTAATTTTTCACAGTGAGTTTACACACATTCACAAAACTAAAGCCCTTGCAAACACTAATTTTATTGGTTTCCTATGGCAAAATCCATTATTCTATAAAAAAAAGAAAAATATAACTCTTTTATTTGCAAGGTGAAGTTCTTCTGATATGAGACACTACTACCATAATGTACTACTACCATAATTTTCTTACACATAAAAATAACAGGAAGGATGTCTCCTTCCTCCTCACCTGAGCCTGATCCAATTCTTCCACAATTTAATAGACATCTTGGAAGCTTAACTTCTTTGAATCAAAATTTTTGAGGATACTCAAAGTACATACATATAATACATAAAATTGCCACAGAAGCATGCAATGTGTTTGCCATCAGATACAGCATGCAGTCTGCAGTGATGTTTGCCATATAACACAGTTCTCATACTCCATGTTTGACTTGTACAAACCTACTACCCCAAGATAATGCAGTAAATGAGCTTGACTGTGTGAACAACACTTATTAATTTCAAACCTAAATATAGTAATGAATAAAAAATAGCTTTGGATTTTCCATCAACCCAGAAGAGTTTTGTGTCATTAGCACACTTTAAAACCATTTTTAGCCATATAAAGAATTTAACTTCTTAAAACTTTAGATTGTATAAGGATTTTTGAACATGTAACATTTTTTTTTCTGAAAAAAATCTTAGTTTCATTAGTTTTAATCTTTCAAAGTCTCTCCTTTCCACATGCTGTTCTTTTCTGTTTTCTGCACACAGACTTTCTAGAAATCAGAAATAATTTTAATGGAAAGTAACAACCCTGTACTCCTCACATTTTTAGCTTTTAGCCACCTCGCCGAGGTTCTCAGCAACAATGAAATAGTGCTCATTCAATGATGTGAATATTAATTTGTTAGCTGAACGAGGTTGTTTATGCCAATTCTTGTAAAACACACATGAAAAAACCCCAAAACCTTTTATTTCTCTACAGCTTTCCCTGGACTGCTCAGTAAATAAAACTGAGAGAATGAGGAAAAAGGACTGCTGAAGAAATGACAGAGATTATTCCCTGAGTTCCTTGTTAGAGGTTTTCTGTGCCTGCCAAAGGATCTTCATGTTTGGCTACAACCAGACTTCTTTTCTTCTCTTCCTCTGTTACAGTCTGACTGATCTGCTCAAACAGCTTTGACATCTTCGCAAACTTCAGGTGGTTCTGAAACCTTCGTGCAGCAAAAGCATAAAGCAGAGGGTTAATACAGCTACTGATGAATACAAGTGCGCCAGAGATGTACACTCCTTTGTCTACAATTTCTTCCAGTGCCAAAGACATCTCCTCATTGGAGAGTTCTATTTCAATAGAAATGATATCCAGGATGTTAAAGATGTGGTGAGGGAACCAGCACAGAATGAAAGCCACCACGACGCTGGCAATGAGACGTTCTGATCGCTGCTTGGATTGGTAAGTCATTCTGCTTATTCTTCTTGCAACACACACATAACAAGTGCAAATAATTAAGAAAGGGATTACAAAACCTGCAAGGGTCTCCAGCAGAAGATAGGACACTTTCTGTCTATTAGAAGAGTAGTTGCGACATGTGCATAGAAGTCGACCGTCTGTTTCTTCTGTCTCTTGAAATGGAATGACAGAAATGCCAAAGGCAATAGACAGGAACCAAATGAGGAACACAATCAAAGAAATTTTGTCTTTTCTTCTGTATGTTTGAATTGTGAAAGGGTAAAACACAGCCAGTAGCCGCTCCAAGCTGAGTGCTGTAATCAGAAATATACTGGCATACATGCTGCAGTAAATAATGAAAACCAGCACTTTGCAGAAGATGACTCCAAAAACCCATGAGTCAGCAAAAGAGTAAATCCAGATTGGTAAAGTGATCAGTACAAGGACATCAGCAATGGCCAGGTTCAAGATCAGCAGGACTGAGAGAGATACTTTCTTCATTTTTGTACAAACAGTCCAGATGACGATGCAGTTCCCAGGGGTGCCAATTAGAAATGACAAGCCCAGTATTATGCAGACTACTGACCTCACAATATTCCATGTTGAGTGGCCACTGCTTTCCTCAGCTTGACTCATTCTGGAAATTCTTCCGTTCTTGGTTGCTTTGTGCTCCGCTTTTATTCTGCAGGTGTTGGTGAACTACTTGAAAGTTCTCCTCTGATGTTCTGAAGGCTAATGCAGACTATGAGCTCACAGCCTCATGCTCCCTCTTACAGACATCTGACCACATATAGCAGTTCCTGTTGTTTAGGAGGATGGGTGTTTTTGCATACAAAGCAAAAGTAAAAATACAACGCAGGACCTGACTTTGCTGTTAGTTATACATCCATTGTGCTTCAGCAAATTTTATAGCATGTTGGTGGTCTTTCTAAAGTGTCCCTATTTAAAGAAATGTGCTACTGTTTTGATGTTACTGATCCAATTAATGGCTGTGAGGAGAAAAAACCCCTTTTATGCTATTCTATTCTTGCTCCTATGAACAACTCAGCACTTTATTTTATAAAAATAAAAAGCAAAGAGGGGTGTCAGGTAAACGACAAATGTGCATCATATGTTTGACATTAATTTTAAAGCACAAAAAATCGTGCTTACTACCTTCATGCCAACTTTTTTTTTAATTCAGCACAAAACAGTAAATCATATTTTAGAAATACCCTGGCATAAAGGAAATCAACTGTTTGTACTGTACTGGTACAACAAAGTGGATAGGAGCTGTATTTCTAATTCTCTGGGAAATTGCAGTTCTTTACCAAACAATAACCACCAGAGTATTCAGTCTGGATGTAGAATTGTAGAAGGAAATGCTCCATGTCAAAGAGAAAAGATATGACTACATTATTGTCCTGCTGTGCCAGCAATGGGCTATGACTTTTATGATTTTTCCTAGGAAACTTGGTAGTCAGTGTAGTACTCAAATCCTAAATGAATCATAAGTTCTTCAGAGGCTGGCCAAGACCATGAAGCTATTTTGTTATGCTGATTTCAAAACATCTTTTGAAGTTCATTTCTCAAATGTCAAAGGAGGAACTAGAACAGCAGAGCCAACTGAAATATTCAAGAAGTGGAACTGGAAGGGTATTTACCATTAAAAAAAGTTCACAGTAACAAAGGAGTTATTTATAGCTTTCTTAAATTCAAGAATGTGATACAGATCATTTCCCTAATTTTACAAACCCGGCAAATGTAGTGCATAGTGTTAAGCCAAAAAGTATTTTTTACCATGGAAAAAGGATTGTAACATCAGCACCCCCAAAGCAGCTTAGCTGGTTTTGCTCTTGTAAGAGTATAATGAGATCAAAACCAAATCCAGAATAACCCCACTGAAGTCAAGTATAATATCTTCAAAATACTATTTGTGTAATACAGATTTTAATTGGGATTTAATCTGATACATGATTCCAGTTCCTTTCATTTTCAATTGCATTTAATAAATATTGGGTAGGGGAAAAAATGAAACAAGTTGTTTGTATTCTGAAAGGAATTTCTGAAAACCACTTGTGAAAATTAACTAATGGGTGGAAGTGCTGGGCAGTATCTCTTCTTCCACTGAAATCACCTTTACACACATTATTTCTCCAGAAGTATGTTCATTGACTATTTTTAGTTTATTGCCAGTGGCATATCTAGATTGAACAAAGTTGCAGATTTTTATTGGAAAAAGACAATCAAGGAGAGATGTCCACTAGCCTCTTGTCAGCCAGTGCTGCAGGGACTGGCAGGTTTTTTAAGTAAAGTCAATCTAGATCATAATTGTTGTGTCACACACTGATTATCAAGACTTTGACCTGAATTGCAGAGAGCTCAGGTGACTAAAAGCCTACATAACCAAAGACTCTAGATAGTAAAGAAAGCTACACTGATTACTAGAAACTCTGCTTGACTGAAAGCTGGGATAATTGCAAAAAGTCCTGTGGAGCAGTAAGATACACAAACTGCTAGAAATTGTAGATAACAATAAGGTATGCTGATAAGTAAATTTTAATGTCAAAATAAGTGAGCTAAGTGTAGCTACAATCTTGTGGCCATTTTTCCAAGCTTCCAAAAAGTCCATGCTACTGCTGTGAAAGAATTTAAATAGAATTTGCTTTGCCTTAAATATCAGGTGTATGTTGCTCTCATCCTTCAAATTGTCTGTTTTACTCTGAAGGAATGCATGAGCTTCCCTCTGGTGGATGTTCTGTAATTCACACTACCACTGAGCATTTTCAAACAGCCGTGTTTGCATCCCTAAATGTAACTTGTAATTGATCTTTCTACCTCTTGCATATTTATTCTGAGAAACAGAGTTTCACTTCAAAATGCTGAGAGACTTTGGGCTAAGAGTCTCTGCTTAAAGTTTATCCATCCTTCCATGCCGTAAGAGCCTCCCTTGTAAGGATTTACAGAGCAGCTAATACATGGCAAATGGCAAATCTAGAACTTGTATTTAGAACTCTACCAAGAAGACTTTTAAAGTCAGAAGGATCCTCTGGATGTTTGTCTAGTAAGTGGTTGTAGAATAATGATTGTCAAGTATCATGTATCTACTGAGATGCTGCAAATTGATGTTATAACCTCATTTATTGTTAATGTGAAAGAAAAGAAGTAATTAGCCTGAATCCCTCAGTTCTTCAGCCACTGCATCGAGGTGTATTTGCAGGATTTGTGCAAATGTTTTATAACAAACTCAAGTCCATGTTCTACTGAGGGCAGTGTGAAAGTGCTGCCTTTGCCTTGATCAGTGAACTATAGGCTACTTCACAGCTGATCTAATGACTGCTTTTTTGATTACAGGAGGGGCTTCTATGTAAGTGGGATTTCCTGGGGATGTGCAGTAGCTAATAATCTCTCTGCTCTGCAATTACTGCAAAGGGAAGTGCAGTGTAGGAAAAGACACACATCAGACATTTCTACAGTCTTGCAGTGTTTGGCAGCAGCCCGTGGGGCAGCAAGCACAAATAAGAACACTCCCAGGGCTGCTTTACAGAGAGTAAATAACTTAAGGAAGAACTTGGGATCAGTTCCAGAATGTAATAAAAGGTGTGTACTTTGCACTATAAAGTTTGAAATATTCTGTGCTGTGTGCATTGCTGTTAATCAGTATCCTAACATTATTAAAAATTTGTATGAGAAAAGATATTCCTGCTTGTTATGTTCATTTTTTTGGCTGGCTAGAGATATGGCTGAGAGAAAAGATTTCCTCCTTGCTATGTTCAGGGAAAGCTGCTTTAGGATTTGTGACAGGGATGTGCTTCCAAGGCACCTGTTGTGTGTGCATCAGACAGGCTTACCTATTGGCATCTTTCCTGCCCCAACAGACTGATCACTGACAATCAGAACATGTCTCCATGGTGAAAACCACAGATAAATATTTTCCTTGTACAGAAATACCAGGTGCATTAGATTAGAGGTGTTAGAGTTTATCAAGACAGTGGAGAACTGTATTCATGATTCTGACTACAAGCAGGAATATGAATAACAATTATTTAGAGATTATGGAAAAACTTACAGACACCTTTTCTTGACATTATGAATGTATACAGTTTTAGTGTCCTGTTAAAATACAAGCTTTTGAACAGTAAATTTATAGATTTGTTACAATTTAAGGCAAGACTGGCCTATTCTGAATCAGCTACTACTAAGTAGCTACTTGTACACAAACTGTTGCTGTCCAAAATCCTTAATGATATAAACGTATCTGGTACCATGGTTGCTACTGAGTAAAACAAATATGCAGTTTATATGCTCTTCCTTTTGAGTAATAACTTACAGTTGACAAATACTGCTTGGATGATTTGCTGCCAAACAGGATTTGATTTTTTAAAATTGTTTAGCCAAACCTACTGGCATTTCTACCTTGTTTACTGAGATTGCACATAAATATTATTTTGCTATATGATCAATGTATCTTTTTGTTATTCAGCAGTGATAAAAGAAAGTGCTTAGCAGAGCATGTCTTAGTGAAGGAGCTGTGATTAAAAACCCACGAGCAGATACTCTGCAGTGCCTGAGCAGCAGCACCAGCTGTTCTGCCCACATGGAAGGGGCTGTCCGTGCACTTCTGTGTTTGCAACACAGGGCGGCACTGGGAAACCATCCCTTGGGTTTGGCTGAGCCCGCAGGCCCGGAGGTGTTGCTTTTCTCTGCCCTGCGTGCGCAGCGTTCAAGGCCATGGCTCTGCACAGAATTGCTTCTTTCGCATTAGAAAGTTAGGTGATTGTGACTGGAACTTCAATAAACTTATGGGGGGAAAATCACAATGTCTTTTTTTTGTCTTGTACATCACATTATTTTCTAAATATTCATATTTCTAGCTCTCTCAGTTCTGTTTTGATACATGCCCATTTCCAGTGCTACATTCTGTTTTAACTGATCTGGTAAGGACATCTCCCTCTGCAAGAAAAAATAACATTAATTTTAATAAATAAATTTCATTTTCTATGCCTCTGAAGGAACAAAGTTTGGAAAGTTTGGTAATTACATTAACATTTGGTCCTTCAGTGTATCTTCCATTTTTGTGTTTTCTTTGAAAAGCGGATCAAGTAATGATGTTCTGGGTTGTGAAACAACCCTGTCCAGCAGATTTGAGCACCTTTGAAGACTTATTTAATTCCTTTATTGCACATGACTTAACCTCGGTCGCAGTGTGACATGAAGTCTTGATTTTGTGGCCTTGTGTCAGGAGGCTGGTTAATTGTGCTGCAATTAGCAGCCTGTACTGATTTTATAGGGAATACAAAGATCTTTCTTCTGCTCAGTAGCAGCCACCACGTGTGTGTTGGGAATGCCTGTGTGCTCAGTCACTCAGTAATTAGCATACCTGACATTCTGTTCTGCATAGCCAGAGAAACCAGCGCCCTGTGCCACGCTGCCCTTCAGAACGGTCTTGTCCAAGCATTCTTAATCTGAAACAACAAGTAGTCAGGATTCATTCTGAGATGCTGCACAGAGCCACACTAACGGATAAACAGTAAACACACACATAATATACTGTATGGAAAAAGTGCAAGATATGCAAACTTCAGGTACAGGTTATGTTTTATCATTCTGTAATCTGAGCTGTTATTTCTATAGAATTTCTATATAATATTAGAAATGACTGTGAATAATGATAACTTCTCCATTAAATGAAGTGTTTTCACTGGCAGAAAATGGTAGCATCATTTTTTTTAGTTAAAACAAGTATTTATTTATGCAATTTAATGGAATGTAAAGCTAATAGACTCTAAAATAAGCTGATGTCTTATTTTTCCTATATTTGACTCTTGAGCCTAAAAATATGATGTGGTTTTAGGCAGACTTATTTTTTATATTCTATTGTTGAGTCAGATCAAAAAGTACTTTTAGCCCAGTATCTTGTCTCTGATAGCAGCCACAAGCAGGTGTTTAGAGAAGATTGAAAGAACAAGCCATGTGTGCCTATACTTGTCCTACACATTCTCTGGCATTCAGTCAATCACAGCTGAGGAGTTTCTTGGATCAGGGATGGTTTCTGTGTGTTTAATAAAGCTTTGTGGACATTTATTCAGCAGACTTCCTAAGCCTATCTTTGAACTCCAGTGAACTTGTAGCACTGCAGCTTTGATCTGTGCTGTGTGAAGAACCACCTCCTTTTGTTTCTTTGCTGTTCTGTTGGCTCCAGCTGGCTGCCCACAGCTCATCTGCTGGAAAAACAGTAAACACCACACCTGTGTTCATGCTTTCCACCGTCCTCCCTTGTTAAAGCCTACATCTGACAGTCATTGCTTAGCTGCAGACTGAAAAATTCTTACATGCATGACTATACCTACACACCTTCCTATACCCCGCAAAGAAATCCTCCCGTGCTTTTCGTCATCCCTTCATTCTTCTCATTGTCTCTCCATTCAGGTCTTTTATGTTTCGTTCAGAGGAACAGACTAGTTCTGAAATTCAATAGTTCAATTAAACCACAGTGTGCTGATGAGGGAAAATGAAAGAAATCAAGACACACAGATTTCAACGTTTCCTCATCTTCAGTCTGTTTGTCTCACCCTGCTGCAGTGCAACAGGGCTGACCATACTGCACTCAAACACCTCTTTTTTTTTTCTAATTGGGGATTAGTTTAGTTTACATTTAAAGCACAAAAATAATAATTAGCTTTTGTCTTTCTCAATGCCAGTCTGTGCTCTAAGATTTAGAAGTCTTTGTTCCAAAGGTCACTGTGTCATTCTTCCTTCATTTACTCCAGATGCTTTAGAATCATAGAGATCCTCATGTGATGCAATTACCTTGTAATCCTTAAACCATATGTTTATACCCTGACTGGTAGAGCTTTGTATCTCTGCTGTGTGTCCTATTCTGTGCTTAAACCACTAGAAGTCAAATATAATCTAAAATAGCCATTATTTGGTGCTGTGTGAAAGGTAACTTTAATTGCACCTGGTACCTTTCCCTAGGTAGCTTTGTGTCTTGTTATGTCTGGCTGTGTGGGAAGCATTTAATCCTCCATGGTATTGAACGGTATCTCTTTAACACCTCCTCTTTTCTGACACAGCAAATGTGTGACTCCTCTCTCTCAGGATGTTGTTCTCCTGTCTTTTGAGTTTGTGACTATTCACCAAGGCCTGTGGTATCTGACCGTAGTGTCACTGAAGCCCTCGTTGCAGATCTGATGCCCTTGCTCCCCTCAGGGCTAGCTGCAGGTATCTCATGTTGGCCCAGCAAAGTGTTTGCTACGTGCAGTACACCCACAGGGCTGGTTATGGTACATTCTGGGATCTGTTAGTGAGTGAAAAACAGAAAACATATTGCAGAAAACATGGCTAAGACTCTTGGTAGACACTGCTGATGAGCATCCATTGATCAAGTTACTATGGATCCCTCTTGGCATGACAAATCATAGATCCAGTCAAAACTTTATCCATGTTCTAGACCTCTGACTTTGGTTTGAACAGTGCCAGGTTCAATTTATAATTTATAAATTATACATCTCTTATTTTATAAGAGATTTGCTAGGTTGTTGTCATCATGTAATACTAACTTCTATAAAGGTTTATACAGCTATCAAGAAGACAACTGTAATGGATATAAAATCAGGTTTTACCCATGCACTTATAAAGAACTCATATTTTAAACACTATTAGTCTTCCTGTATTATCTGAGAACAAGCATCTTATATAAACGCAACAGAAAAACATCACTACTGTCTAGCAGATTCCCAAAAAGAGGAAATATCCAATAAAACAGAGTAAGAGAGCAGCTTTGAGAGAACTGCTCTCTGCAACTAATCAAATGCATCTTTGCAGCACAAAAACAGCAGAGTTGTTCTCACAAGTTATGTTAGAATGGGATCCAAGCAGAGGAGTTGAAATTGCCTCATAATGGTATAAACTTTTACAGGAACATTCATGTATTTCTTGCTTTCAGCAGAAAATTTGTTTTCATGTCACATGATAGCAGTATCCATTTTTTACTGTTTCTTTGGCTTGTAATCTGAGCAGCTTCACATCCAGCTGCCAAACACTGATAGCCAAATTAATTTTCCCATACTATGAAGAAACTCTTATGAGCGTTAGTCTATTGTCAATGAAGCATGACAACAATATTTACAACATCTCAAGTTGTCTTTAGCATACTAATTAAAATAAAAATTTCCAGTAAATCCATCTTCTCAAAGTACAATGCCCAGATAGCCTTTGGCAAGCTTCCCCTTTCTAATATGTTCACAAGGGCCTCTAAAATATCATTATGCAGGTTAAAACATGACAGGTCAGTTCACTGCCCCCTGTTTAAAATGTTAAAAATGTTAAAATGTTTAAAATGTTATTCAGTGTTATCACCAGGAATGTGTTAAAGGAAATGGTGGAATTTTATTACAATTTTCACTTTATATTCACTTATTTTCCCAACAGAACTATCAAAATAATTGTCTTGATCCAAATTTGATCATAGCTATGATTTGAACACGAAGATTAAAATAATGACCTTCAATAGTTCCTTCCAAGCTTAATTTCCCTGTAAGTGTATTCTGCACTGACATGTTTGACAGAGCCTCACACGACGCTCCTCATGATGCTGCTGATTCAGCCATTCCCCATGATGAACTGTTCCCAGCTGCCTGTGTCCCTCAGTCTAGAAGGGAACTGTGTCCTTACAGGAATCATCAAGCAATGCTTTTCAACTTAATCTGCCCAAAGGATGGGACAGAAAGTGCCTGTGCATTTGTAGCCTATCTATGCCTTACTTTAGGACATGGTACCAGCCAAACAGCAGATCAGCATTTCTTTTTGCATTCAGTGGCAGTCAAAACTCAGATTTCAACAATTAGTTTTGTTAATTTTGTTAATTTTGTTTGTTTTTAATGTCAATCAAGAAACTTTGGTAAAATGTGGATCTGTCCTATTCGGTTCTTAAGCATAGTCAGTTTTCCCACTAATATCTTTTTAATGTGGTAATCTGGATTTAAAGGATAGAAAATAAATGGGCTCTCTACAGACATTACATCTTCATATCTAAGATGACATTTGCTTTACAGATGCATCACTTAGTGGGATTGCATACAAATTTCAGAGCCAGAGACATAACTGAAGAAAAAAATCTTTACATATCCTTTAAATTCAGGTGAATTCTCATTTTTTAATGCACCAACTAAAGAGGAAGTCAGATTGTTTCTTATAGGTTGCAAGGAAGCCTCTCAACATATGTGATCAGGGTCAGATGGTTTTCCATCCCTCAGTGTTGGAAAAATTTAGCACTGAAAATGAGTGAGAGAAACCTTATGGAGACTAGACAAAGACCAACATCCCCTTTGATAAATGGCTAAATTACTGCCAGCAGTTTCAGTTCTTCTGGACACACTTGTGTTTCCAGAGATGGATTCACTTTTGTCACTAATCTGTAGCAGCAGTGCTGTGTCTCTTCAGAAGCAGCTCTGAGCTAGCAGATTTCCTAAGGCCTGTATTTCCCTGTGACTTCCCTGACACTGTGTCCAGCTGGGACACCAAACAGGTGTGACACTGGATGGAACACTGAAATGCTTATTAAACAGTGGCTCCTGTCTTTTCATTACATGTAGACTAGAATCCTGAGATGCTGCTGCTTGACTCGTGGCACTGGGCCCTCTCTAACCCCACTCAGTCTTGTAAGACTTGTTAAGCCTTACAGTGACAGCATACCAAATTCTGCTTTTTCTCCAAATCTCTTCCTCACAGAAAAAAAGCACCTTGTCTGCAGATTAAACCACCTTGTCAGCTTTCTACCTCAGAGGGCCCAAGTTTCTCTGCAGAGCAAAAAGTTCTACCACTCTCGCAATATGCTGGGAAGTCGTTGTACTTTGTGGGAACTTGTGCAAGACATAAACTGTGCCTGAGGGTTCAACCTACTCAGTTTTCATCACAACATGGATTATATTTTCAACACTTTTGCTCATATATTCGTCCTACACAAAATCATATCTCTCTATTTCATCTTCCCATGCCACCTCTTATTTTTAAATTATTTTTTCAATTCCATATATTGCTAAGCTCCAATTTCAAAATTCTGTAGTGGTCCAACCCAAAATACCAACTCTGAGTAAATCTTGAGTAAAACTAGTTAAGTTTGAGCACTCTTGCTAAGAATTTCTCACTCCCAGATTCTAACACAATTCTCTTTGAGTAGGAATTCTGAAATTCCAAGTGTTAGTAATTAAATCCTCACAATTTACTATGGAGCTTTATTACATGGATTGTTTACAAGGACAAATTGATTTGCTTTAGCAAAACATGAGCCAAAGAAGTAATATGATCTCTATTATATGGATTAAAGGTTGGAAGATAGGAGAGATGATGACTGTTACTCTGTTAATTGTGGTTACTCTACCTTGGCTCTGAGTTTGTGGGTTGATGGTTATGTAAGCCTGCATTTTCAGTACTCCCA